TACTCCGTCCCAAAGTGATTATGTTTCTTTGTCCCCATCCAATAGGATTACACCAAATAATATAAAATATTACTTAATGTTTTTATAAAAAAAAATCTCCAACTAAATCATGCATTTTGATTGATCCAGTACACTAAGAGGAACATGAAGAAGGACAACACATATCCATTCAGTGTCTCTATTAGTCGAGCGTGCAATACTAAATAAAAATAATGATATATGTCATAAGCTACACAAAAAATTTAACCATCCGATTTTTAAATTACTTTTAAACAAAAAATTATCAATTATTAATCTTAGTCTTTCCTCGAATTGAGATCACCTATCCCATTTTTTGGTATCCTAATGTGTACTAATTTAGTTAAAAATTGTTCTCGTAATCAAAAAGAAAATTTGAAAAACAGAAAATTACATTTTTTTACATTATTGGGTGTAGTGTGATTGACTTGGGACACAAAAATATAAATTTTTTTGAGACAAATAATCCTTTTTCCCTTTACCCCACATTTTCAGTACTAGATAAGATCTCATCCTATTATAGTCTCCCATCTCCTATCATATTCAACTTAATCATCTAACCACTCAACTTTGACCATTCTCTCTCTATATATAATTTTCTATTATCATCCCACTATTTGCATCTCTAATGATACCACATTTTCATATATTCTTATAATATAGATTCTCTCATTTTCAAAGCCAAAAATATGCCCACCACCATTGATGTTCCACATTCAAGCAATGTTGCGGCCACATCAGGTGATGCTGTCTGCAATTTAAATTAATAGTCAATTTTTTATTATTACATTTGGTCCTACATCTACCATTCTCTATTGTAGTCAGTATACAACCTCATGCAACTAGATCAACACTCTTCCTCATCATACTAGACACCGTAAGATATCCAACTACATGTAATTAAAGAAGCTAAAATTAAATGTGATGTGGACAATTAAATCCAACAACTTCTCATGACATATAATAATTTATTTATAGGTGACAAATTGATGAATTTGGATTTGGATGCTAATGAATTGATGAAAAGTCATCTATCTATTTATATGAATTCATTTAAGTTATATTTTAATTTAACGAATCTATCCATATCTAAACTTAATGGACGAATTCTAATTCATTCAATTCATTCATGAATCCCCTTTCATAAACTTGGATGGATGAATATCCGATCCATTTAATTTTTTTTATCGAAACTAAAAATATTATTGAAGAAAATCATTATTTCGAAAACAACTATCTTAATAAAACATTTTATAAAATCACCTTTTTAAAAAAATATGTTTACAATCATTTAAAAAAACTTTTAAAATTCATTTTAAAAGTGATTTTTGAACTTTTAAAAAAAAAATTCAATATTCTACAAGCATGTGACGTTTATGGTTTTATGTGTAAAAGTTTTAACAAATACATATAGAGTGTAATATCTATACACTGTCAGTGTAAATAAATTTATACATGATCACTACTCATTTGTATTACTTTTTTTGAAGAGTCAATGATGATTAAATATGAATGGTGAATGATGCAGTGACAATATATAAATTTCATACACTCTCCGTGCATATATTTTTTTCTCATACATATATATATATATATATATGTTGTGTACTTAATAATAAACTTTTAATATTAACTACATTCGTATATTCTATAAGTGATCTTAGTTTAATAAAATATTAAAAGTCAGAGTGAGAATCATGAATGAATTTGTTTGAATTTAATTTTGTTGAATATTAAATAAAATTGAAAAGACATCATTTTTTAATGTTTGTTTTTCTTTGATGGATTGAATATCCATCAAAGTGGATATACTCATAGATACCCATTGGATATAATAGATGAATTCAATTCATCTAAGTGTGACAAATTGATGGATTTGGATGCTAATGGATGGATGAGAAGTCATTCATCAATCCATCAATTTAAACAAAATTTGACATTATCCAATCCATCCATATATAAACTTAATAGATGGATATCCAATTCATTTCAATTTTTTATTGGAACTAAATACATTATTTTAGAAAAATGTTACTTTAAAAACTACTATCTCAATATAATATTTTCTAAAATCACATTTAAAAAAACACTTTTAAAATCATTTAAAGAAACACTTTTAAAATTCATTTTTTTTTAAAAAGTGATTTTTTGAAATTTAAAAAAAAAAATCAATATTCTACGAGCACTCGATATATAGTTATGATGCTTAAATATAAATAGTGAATAATGCACTAATAGTATATAAAACTCACACACTGACGGTGCATATATTTTTTATCATACTTATATATGTTACGTACTTAAAATAAACTATATTCACATGTCGTATAATTGATATCAATTTAAAAAATAATAAAAGTGAAAATGAGAATCATGGATGAATTTGCTTGAAATTAATTTTTTGAATATTAAATTAAATTGAAAAGTAAAGAACATAATTTTTTTTGAATTCTTTGTTTTTTGGATGGATTGGATATCCATCCAAATTAGGGCTGTTCGCAGTCCATTTAGATTGGTTTTAGGAAAAACATCATCCGATCCAATCACTTAATTAACATGCAGTTCAATTTGGTCTGTTCATATTAAGATGCCCAATCCAATCTGATCCAAATATTATATGTGGGTTTGATTCGGTTTGGATCATTTTTATTTTATAAAATACTGAAATTGTGCATACATTCAAAACTCATAAAATAACTAAATATTAAGCATAAAGCAATAAGAAAAATAGTGTTGAACACCATTAAAAAAATGTCTAACAAAAGTATAAGTAAACAACAACAATAAACAACAAGACAACAATAAAAGCAAAAAATGACAACAACAATAATAACAAAATAGCAGCAACAACAATATAAGCACCTCCAACATGATTTTAACATTTAGAAAGTGTTCTACTGACAATTAATAACAATAATACTTCCACAACAATAAAATTGATAACAATGTAGCTAATGAGAGTGAGCACCGAAATCTTCTTCATTTTGTTATGGGATTAGTTCAAGTTCTAAAAAAATGTATCAAATATAATCAATATGATTTAAAAAATAGCAACATATACATATGTTATAGAATATAACAAATAAAAAAGAGACACAATTTTGGAGTTGAGACTTAGGATTAAGTCCGGAAGACACTTAAAAGTGTTACATACTTAAACTTTACATACTATTTCGGTCCAGTTTCAATCGGTCTGGATCCAAGAGGTGAAACAAAAAACCAGACCGGAACCGTCAGTCTTTAAAAAGTAAATCCAATACAATCCAAACACATTCGTTTTTTTCAGTTTCGGTCTATTTTGGATCGATGTTCAGTTTTATATTTGGACCAATCTGGATTTGAACACTCCTAATCCAAATGGATATATCCATGGATATCCATCGGATATAACAGATGAATTTGTCTATTACTAAAGTTATCCATTGAAATCCATCAATTTAAATCAACTAAATGGATTTGGATGACTTGTGGATTATAGATGATTTTGCCACCTATGAATATATCCATTATTAAAGTTATTCATTGAATTACATCCACTTAAATTCATTAGCTCTAATAAATGAATTTGGATGGATTTAATTTTCTTGAATTTGGATAGATTGTGGATAATTTTGCCACTTCTAAATTTCTTAGTAAAGTATGAATACTTTTGCATAAAATGTTCTAATTGTAATGCTTTGACACTTGCTAAGAGTGATTCAAATTGTGAACCACATCGAGTGATGTGGCCGCAATATTGAAGTTGCGGTGATCACCATAATCATATTATATTGCAATTGTAATATGTCAGTAAATCACAATGATATACTCACATTGGGCAGTATCGCAACTGCATTAGACCACATTGAGCACATCGGAACGCATCAAATTCAAAAATATTTTTTAATTACAAAATAATTCACACTACGATGATCACAATCCATATCGCAATGACTACAATCGTAATCACGATCACAATTTAAAACACTATTTGTGACAACTCTTAATTGGCTAAACATTCACAGAATTAAAATTTAAATTTTCTCATTTTTGTTTATGGAATATGAGTCATAGGTGTTTCTTACTCTTCGTACTGCTAGTGCTGCTTCAGTTGCTGCCACCGTTTACTTGGTACACAACGACAATCAGGACTCAAACTGGCTTGCTATCTTCAATCAGTTTGGTGATTTCTATGTGCAAAGTAGTGGAGCAGTGATGTCATCCTTAGTTGTTGTTGTCATCTTTCTTTTCTTGATTGTTGTCTGCTTTCGCTCTTAAAAATCCTTAGAAAAAAGTATTGAGCATAAAAATCCTTAGAAAAAAGTATTGAGCATTCACGCAGAGGCATAAGTTACATGTACTATTATTTTGGTTTATTTTGTTTGATAAGGGATTGTGAAAGGAAAATGAATCTTTCAGAATTATCCTATAAGTGTACTTCATGATTTTCAAGTCTTCTATTTCTTTTCATTCTCTTCCAAAACTACACTCTATTGTTGATCTTTTCCTTATGATGTGAACTTCATTCTCTTTCTTGAAGTGTTGACGTGACATATTCATTGCATGTATTAGTTTGTCTAGATATAATATAGAATTTTACTTAGAATCATCTCTAATATTGGAGAGATAAATTGCTATTTTTCCTTATATATTTAAAGATAAAATAGTATCATCTCATTCTATCTAATGTATACATGTCACATCACACTATTTTTTCCTTTTATTTTTTTAGGAGGGATTAAGTTAGATTTCAACCCTTAGTTTCTTTATTAGCTATGAATATTGTGTAGTGAGTGTATATGGTAGTTTTTTTAATATTAGCTAATTTTTAGGGATTTTCATTTTATTCCCTCCTTTTATATATTGTAACCTCTCATATGAGATCAACAGAGAATAATATACAATCTTTCACATATTTTGTTCATAGTATCTCACGAGCAGGCAGCATCCTCTGACTTGAATAAATGGAGATGTTGACGTCCTCCCCAGTCTTTAAAATTGCAGGCCGCATCACCGCCGCACCCGCATCACACCGCAATTGCAGTGTGACTCCAAATTACAATAATGTGACTACATCGGGCCGCAACGCAATCGCATCGGACTGCATTTGGACCGCATCAGGTCGCATCGAGCCGCACTAGATTCAAAATTATCGTTTTAATCACAAAATAATTCACACCGCAATGGCTGCAATCCGCATCGCAACGGCCGCAATGATCGCAATCACAGTAACTGCAACCGTTACCGCGATCGCGACCGCAACCACAATTTAAAACACTAGTCCTCCCCATCGTCAGAATCTCCTAAGATTCTGAATCCACTTATCGGCTATCCAAACACAACTCAAACAGTAACATTGGCATTGCCACTGTGCAGATGTCACACCTTGACCAACATACCATTCCCTTAATTGTTTACTGCCTCAATGGTGCCAATTTCAAGGAGTAGTACCAGTCCGTAAAGCTCATGATAACTTGTAAAGGCAAAATGGGTTATCTCACTAATATTCCACCAGTCCCAAGAACTAGACTTGTCCCATACTATTGCATGGCATTGTATCTTTCAGTTGTTGGATGCTTGAAATATGTTATTAGACTAGTCTCACATCGTTTAGTAGTGTAATAGAGTAGAGTAACAATATTATATATTGGACTCAGGTCTGTAATGTGCACCAGATATAAGCATCAAATAGAAACACTCCATGGGCAGTTGGGTCTATGAGTGTGTTAGGGTTTGTAATCCTTATTCTCTAATACTATCTTGCTAGCCGCCCAGCGCTCCTAGGGACGTAGGCACAATTGGCCGAACTCCGTTACCAAATTCTTTGTTTCTTGATAGCTTCCGCTGCACCAACAGTACCGCTGATGATAAGTTGTTTCTCGCTATGCAAGAGAAAGAACATGTTTTTTGATTTTTATAGGGCCTAAATGCAGATCTGGATGAAGTCAGAGGTCATATTTTGAGTACCAAACTTCCAATTGTCAATGAGGTGTTTGCCATTGTCTATCATGAAGAGAGTCGCAAATGTGTTATGTTGCCTCTATCCAAAGACCCTGACATGGATACTACTGTTCAAGATTTTGCCTTAGCTTCCTACCGTCTTGGCAAACCCCAGTGTTTTAAATTGCGGTTGCGGTCGCGAATACGGTAACGATTGCGGTCGTTGCGATACAGATTGTGCCGTGAATTATTTTGTGATTAAAACAATATTTTTGAATCCGATGCGGCCTGATGCGGTCCGATGCGGCCCAAATGTGATCCGATGCGTTTGCGTTGCGGTCCGATGTGGCCGATTTATTGTGATTTGGAGTCACACCTTAATTGCGGTGTGATGCGGTTGCGGCAGTCAACACAACCACAATATTGCGGCCGCATCAGCTGTTGCGGCCCACAATTTACTGGCAAACCCATTGGAAATCCTGGGCAACAACCTCTCATGAACCAAAAGGATCGTTAATGGTGTGTGCACTGCTACAAACCGTACCACACAAAAGAAACATGTTGGGACCTTCATGGAAAGCTTATTGATTGGAATCCCCAGAGTCAAAGACGCCCTAGAACAACTTATGTTACAGAGTCTCAAAGTTTTTCCAATGCCAACTTGTTGCCTTTTACAACTGAACATATGTAGGTGCTTAAAACACTCCTTCATCCCAATAAGGATAGTAATTTTAGTTCTAATGCACTTATGACTAGGAAAGGTACAATCAATTATTCTACATCTCTTTTATCCTATCAAGGTTCCCATGATATTTGGATTATGGATTCTGGTGCATCCAACCATATGTGTGGTTTTTTAGATGGTCTATCTAACTATCGCCCTTGTCATGAGGACATTAATAATATTGTTGCAATAAATTGTTCAATAACTTTATTTCATTTCCACTGTCTATTTCAAGATTTACCATCGGGGAGGATGATTGGAAATTCTAGAGAGAACAATGGCCTTTACTATTTATCCAATGATGGTTTATCTAGTTCCCCTATTCCAATGGGCCTACAAGTGATGTATGGGGTCCAAATCGTGTTCCCACCGCTAATAAAAAACAGTGGTATGTTAAGTTCATTGATGATCACACTCGGGTTTGTTGGGTATACTTAGACCTGTCAAAATGGGCCGGGTATAGCGGGCCGGCCCGCCAAGGCCCGAAAAAGTATAGGGTTTGGGTACTAAAGTTTGAGTATTTTAGTTAAACCGGACTTTTTAGCCCGGCCCGTTCGGGCCACAATAAATTCGGGCTCGGGCCGGGCTTACCCGTTCGGGTTCGGGCCATTGTCTACTCATTTTCTACATGATGTAATCGATTACGATATATTCGTAATCGATTACACATATGAAAAACATTAGTTTTTGCTGTTTTTTAAACAGTGTAATCGATTACACAATCCTGGTAATCGATTACATGCTGATAAACAAATCAGACTTGTGCATTTTACATGATGTAATTGATTACAATATACTTGTAATCGATTACAACACTTTAAAAGCATCAGTTTTGCTGTTTTTCACACAGTGTAATCGATTACACAATTCTGGTAATCGATTACACTGTTTAAAAAACAGCAAAACTGATGCTTTTAATATGTTGTAATCGATTACAATATACTCGTAATCGATTACAACATATTAAAAGCATCAGTTTTTTGCATTGGTGTAAATAATAAAATAATCCGGGCCGGCCCGCCGCAGCCCGCAGCCCGCTTTGGGCGGGTTTGAGCCTCATTTTTAGCAACATAAAATATAACCGGACTTTTTAGTCCGACCCGTTTTAGCCCGAATCAAAAGCGGGCTAGCCCGAACCCGTCCGGGTAGCCCGTTTTGACAGGTATAGGTATACTTAATAAAGGATAAATATGAGGTTAGTATGCTCTTTAAACAATTCCATCAACTTATATAAAATGTTGTTCAGTTCTCTATCCATATTCTTCGCACCGACAATGGGAAAGAGTATTTTTCTCAAACCTTTATCATTTACCTTCAAGAATATGGTATTTTCCATCATAGTTCTTGCACTTACACCCCTCAACAGAATGGGGTGGAAGAGCACAAAATTCGTCATTTACTCGAAGTTGCTCGGTCTCTAATGATCACAAGCAATGTCCCACATTATTTTTGGGGAAATTATCTTTTAACTTCAGCCTACCTTATTAATCGCTTACCGTCTAAAATCCTCAAGTTTAGGACTCCACCGATTTCTTTACTACTTCTTTTCTTACACTCATATTCTTAATTCTCTCCATCTTCGAGTTTTTTGGCTGTCTTGCCTATGTTCACAACAACTCTCCTAATCTTAGTAAACATGACCCCAAGGAATATAAGTGTGCTTTCCTAATCTTAGTGGTAGATTCTTCAGTGGTAATAGAACCAAGTGTGGTTGAAGAAATTGGAGAAGAAAATGATAACTTGGATCTTCCTTTTGCTGTTAGAAAAGGGGTAAGAGCTTGTACAAAACACCATATTCCTAACCATATCACGTACTCACAATTATCAAGAAGTTACAAGGCCTTTATTTCCAAAGTAAATTAAATTTAAGTGCCATGTAATATTCTTGAAGCTTTACAAAGTGGAGAATGGAAAAAGGTAGTGATGGAAGAAATGACAACATTGAAAGAAAATCAAACATGGAACATGGGAGATGGCGGACTTGCCCGATGGGGAGAAGATAGTTGGAAACAAATGGGTGTTTGCAAAACTGAATACAATATGAGTATTGTTGTCTTTAGCTGCAAGCTTGGACTGGGAGTTACACCACAGGGACATTAAGAATGTTTTCTTAAATGACTCATTGGATGAATAAGTTTATATGAGGATCCTTCAAGGATTTGAGGCACATGCAAAATTAGGAAAGATTTGTAAACTTAAAAAATCCCTTCTAGAGCATGGTTTACTATATTTAGCTCTATTACGAAGAAGTTGGGATATAAGCAGAGACATGCAGATCACACCTTATTTGTTAAGGTGGATATATTTTGTGGATGACATGGTAATTACAAGTGAAAACAATGTATGTATTATATCTCTAAAAACACACCTACAATTAGAATTCCAAATAAATTACTTTGAAATATTTTTTGGGATGGAGTTCACTAGGAGTAAACAAGGGATCTTTATCTCTCAAAGAAAATATGTTCTAGATTTATCAAAAGAAACTAGAAAATTAGAGTGTAGGCCCACTAAGGTGCCTTTAGAGGAATTGGAAGTAGAAGATTTCAGAAGATGATCCTCCAGTCGGTTCATGCATGCTCCCACAAAAAGGCAAGTAAGATATTATTTTTAAAGAAAACGACAATAGAGAAATAGTGGAATACTCCGATGCATATTGGGTAGGAGATATGTTGGACCAGACTGTGACCGAGGAGCCTCCAATCACCGGGGATTTCCATTGTTACCAGGGTATGGGAAGAGTGCAGAGCCACAAGTGATGCAACACGTCTTGAACCAAAACCTTAAGACATTAGTTCCATTGACATTTTCTACTTATAAACTCTTTTACCCCCGCATATCCAACGTGAGACTTCACACTTGAATAAACCCAACAAGATATAGATGACATCAAATCTACAACTAGATATTGCACTAAAGTTTGGGGGAATCTAGTCACTTAGAGAAGCAAGAAATAAAGCATTGTAGCAAGAAGTAGCGTATAAGACGAGTTTCGTGCATTGACTAAAGGAATTTGTGAGTACATTTGGATTTAAAGACTAATGACAAATTTAAACATATTTGTCACCTCTAGTACGAGACTTTACAGTGACAATAAATCATCTATAAGTATAATACATAATTCAGTTCAACATGACAAAATGAAACACATCAGGATTTGTAGTCATTTCCTCAAGTCAAAACTGGATAGTGGAACTATATCTTTGTCCTATGTTCCCACAACAACTCAGGAAGCTGACGTTCTTACAAATAGAAATTGACTACCAATAGACTTCTTTAGTGATAGAATATTCGAATAGAATATTCTCATACAATATTATTATGTTACGATATTATTATGTTACGATATTATTATTAGGTTGTATGAGAATATTCTATTCGAATATTCTATCATTTAGTACTTATAGTAAGAATTTTCCTTTTGCAGCAATAAAGTGATTTTTTGGTTTCTACAAAATTAGATGAATTTTGTCCATTACATAATTTCTTTTTGCATTTTGATTTTGAATTCAACCAAGTCTTCAAAGATGTTGATGAAGATTTTACTTGATATTGATTCAACTAAGTTGATTCGTTGTTCTTTTTAGATTGATGT